CAGCAGGAGGTTTAACTTCATACAACTTTATCTGTCTAGTTTTAAAATTCTTTATTTTGTATGTCTGGAAATGACAGAAAATTAAGGCCTATGGTTTTAATTTTCCTATGAACACTGACTTTGGTACCGTGTTGTAAATCCATCCTAATTAAACCTCTATGTACAGGGTAAAAGCAGAGGGGAGCACAGTGTTTGTAGCTTCTCTGCTTTTTCCTAACAAACACAGCTGTCACAGTGAAGGAAAAATTAGGTATTCATAAACATCTCAGTTTTATTTAGTCACAGTTAAACTAGATTTTTGTAAGATTTAAGTTATTATTATAAATGCTACTCCTTGAAATAGCTGTCTGTAAGCTATTTTCTCTTTCTAGCATCAGATAAAGACACAGGAGTTTTGACAAGTGGAAGGCTGGAAACCTTTGCGGTAGATAGATGTCACTGGAAGTCTACCACCACGTCATTTCATAAAGAGGAGGGAGGGTGAAGAAGGGAGAAGAGGAGGGAGGGTGAAGAGAGAGAGGAGTTTTTCATTCTGCTGTTAAGCTTAAGGGGACAGATATGATTCTTCTAATGTCTGCTCTGCTGAAATGAAAAACTCACTGACAATAATCATTTCTTTGACCTACCTATCTGCCCAGTAAGGAGAAGAAGCCTGCTTCTTGTCTTAAAATGTTATGCACGTGCACAGTACGTGTCCTCTGTTTTACAGAAAATAATCTGTTCCTTTGTGAGGCTTGAAACATTAGACTGGTTTCGTTCTGCATGTGAAATTTTTGGTGCTAGGCAGATGTGTGAACCTTGTGCATTTGAAAAGCTGTCATGCCAATAACATGTATTAAACTCGTGCTTTCTTTTTTCTAAATTTCCTTATGTTCTCCCTTGGTGGCATTCAGTTTTCTGCCCAGTCCTGGTTTCTTTTTCACCTGGTTCAAAGGTGCTCTGAAGTAACCAGCAGGGCCTGGCAGCCAGCCTTTGGCTAGTCAGTTATCCATCTAATTATTTCTGAAATTCCCCAGGCTAAGGATCAACAGCAAAAAATATGGTGCAGTATATTATGTTGCAGTCTTGCTATAGTCAGCGAGATATTTAATTTGACCTGTTCTATTGGGCAAATTTTATTTAGAATGACGATTTGAACCTTGATCCCAGGTTTTGTCTGGAGTTGTTTGGAAGCTCTGTGGTTATAGGTGGTAAAATGTGGCATTAATCAGCTTCCAAAAATGAGAGACAAAGCTGCCAATGCCCACGGAGCCTAAGGGATTATAGGTGTTTACTTTCTTGCCAATCAGGAGACCCTCCTGCAAAGAAATGACTTTGTTTCAGAATCCTAGGAACCAAAAGCAAACCCAGTGAACTCCCATATCGTTGTGGCTCTCCTTAAGGAAACACAATGTCTGCTGGCAGGACAGCTCGGGTAGCGTGATTTCTGCATAGCTCTAATTTCCTGGATCCATATGAATAAGGTGCCTTGAAAGCAAAAGGCAAAAGCCCTCATGTTTTATCGTAGCCTTAAGACAGCAAATACTTCAGCATGCACAAATTTTATTAGGACTGCTTTAGTGTTGAAATGAAGTATGTGTGTGCCTCCGCTTCTGTAGTTAGTATCAAAGGGCTTGTATATCCCTGTAATTTTTACCTCATTTAAATCACACAGAGAAATAATACATTATAGAAAAATAAATTCTTCAGTAACTATGTTCACCAAGTTCTTCAGCTCCGTATGACCTGCCAGCAAGCAAGTGTCGTGTGTTTGTGTCGGATTGTTTGGTCTTAATGAGAAAAGGATAAAGGTAGCAGGCTAGATGCGTGGGGGAATTTGCTTCTAAGCCTAAAGTTTAAATGTTCTTACCCTTCTTTGTGTCATACATTACATATGAATATAAATGTAAGTTTCTTTTCTTAAGAAGAAAATTTGCCTTGGTTAAAAATAGCTATTTACCAAGCTAAGGGATATATTTTCTTCAAAAAAAGTTGATGAAAATGTGTTTTTACTTGGTATCCAAAACGTCCACATCAGTTTTTCTCCTTTAACATAAGGATTCAGTGAGAGAGTTAATCTGAAGTGCATTTTCCCCAGCTGAAGGATAAACCTTAATAAAAACAAGACACAATGTAATTCATGGAATTCCAGCACCAGGCATGAAGAGAGATCGGTATTGCTATATTCCATGAGCCAGCGAGTTAAAATTTTCTTTGAATTGTAAATATATGTTCCCAAAAGAATGTTTTTTCCTTTAAATAGGTTAGCAGCAAGGTAGTAACTGTAATGCATTCTGAGTTTAAAATGCATTTATTCCATTTAGATTCTTTTCATACTGCACAAGAAAGTTTAAAATGTTTGAACTCATTCAAGATAAAATTGTATTTTTTGACATAGAGAAAATATTTTTAGCACTATGTAGTACTCTTAAAATCATAAAGACAATAGCTGTGGAAGATGCCAAATAATTGAAGCCCTTGCTTGACTTGAACATTAAAAGAAGGTAACCAGAGAAATGAGATCCTGTAGGCGATCCTGTAGCTTAGGGATTATCCGCATTACCTCACTCCGGCTGTCCTCAGTGGCAGGATGAGTCAGAGCATCACGTACCATCAGATGTGATGAAATGAGATGCAACTCTTCTCTAAACAAAATACCCAACCAGTAATATAGATGCAGTTTGTCAAGATTTCGTGTCCTGTTTTCTGGTGTGCCTTGAAGTTGCTTGCTAACCTATGCATACATGCATATGCATCCGTGGTGTAACGTGCCTCAGGGGAGCCCAGTTTTCATAGAAATATTCTGTTCCTATTGCTTGTGCTATTTATATATAAAGATTTCGCTGAATAACACTGCTCGTGCATCCCTCCTGCAGTGTGGTATTCTTCAGACAAAGGAAGGCAAGTCACCTCGTGTTCATGTTTCATTCTACTCTGCTCCTTTCTGGCACTTGGTGACTCCAGAGATAACAGTGGTTTCTTTCTGTGCAGGGCTGCTACTGCTGCCTTGGAGGGCAGCAAGAGAACGAGGGAAATAACAGATGTACCTGCAACAAATGCACTGGGTTTTTACACGCTGTATGTTAGGGCTTGCATTCACGGAAAATGGGTGGGTTTCTGCCTGAGTTCACGTAAAGCCAGGAATGTTAGCAGTTTTCAGATTACTATAGACTGCAATCATTAGGATTGTCTCTGAAGTTAAGCATCTGCCCATTACTGAAGCGAAGTCAAAGCTTTGGAAGGGTTACAGTCAGCATGGGGGGTAGGGTTTTGATGTGATACCTGTAACTGATAACGTGCTTTCTTTTCTCCTCTAGCCCGGGTCGCTCCCCAATTTCCTTTGACAGTGAAATAATAATGATGAATCATGTGTACAAAGAAAGGTTTCCAAAGGTAAGGAATCGCTTTCTGAACAATGCATTCAATGAACTTGCAGCCAAGCTCAGAACTAAGTTGTAGAGCTCATTGGAGAAGGAGCCCCACGCTTACATCTCATTTCCAAGCAGTGCAGTTTGCTGAGGGTTTGAAGCTGCCTTCTCTGCTTTGTGTGTTAATTCTGCAGTAGAAGAAATAGATTGAATGTACAGAGACATTCACATGGAAAAGGGTGAAAAGCTTTGCATATTTGTGTATGCATTTCATATTTACTAAATTTCACATGTCTTTTTATTGGCATGACAAATGCTCACAGGAGTGAGGAGAAGGGCCGTGCTTTGCCCCTCCATATATTTGTAACTAATCCTTGTCTTTTTCTTTAAATTCCAAATCAGATCAAAGCTGGAAGAGGGATGTTTTGCTTATTTCCATATATACTTTAAAAAGCTATTTTAAAGAGTAATTTCAAAATAAGTTAAATAACATTCTCAGTATTCCCTGTATAGTTGCATTAGATTTGCTTTATACTGATCCAGACTTCTTTGGTTTTGGTAGACTTTCCATTTACATATTGGAAATGCAAAGTTTTTCTTTTAAAGTCATTCCAAATTGTACTGGAGGTTTTGGCAAAACCCAAGTTTGCCACTGGGGCTTTTGGTACCAGAGAAGCAATGAAGATAAATTTGAATTTTTAGAAAAGTCGATCTGAATTCAGTTACACTGAAATGTGCTGAAGTGATTTGCAGTGAAAATATAAGTTTTTGTTTATTAAAAAGCTGAATATTGAAATCTGTGGAATCAAGCTTTGAAAGTCAACATCTCATTGAAACAAGCGTAGAAGATCGTGTATGCCCGAGCTGCTGATATGGCCATTCCTTCCTGTTCTACCAATAGCAAAAATAGATGTTTCTCTGGAGACAGGATATCGGGGCTTATAGTGATAGAAATGTAGTGTGTCTATTGCCTGGGGCCATGATTTTCAGCTTCCATGGTCTTGCCCAAAAGTTCTGAAAAATGCCTCGTATCTTATGTCCTTACTCTGGAGACGCAGGGAGGAATACAGCCTCAGGACCAAGATATTTTTATGGTCATTTGCATTTTCAGAAAGTGTGTTTGGATTAATTTTTGTTGTTTGCTCACATGAACATAACTTTTGCCTATGGTATGCTATTTTTATTCTCAGCAGAATGCTATTGTATTTTGGAATATTTTCTAGGCCTCGTGCATTTTGGAATTGCGAATATGTTACTTTAGCACCCTACCTGCTTATGTTTTAAGTTCTGAGATAGTAAAATTTAAGAGCAATTTCTCTTTACTCTATCCTTGTAGGCCACAGCGCAGATGGAAGAACGGCTGGCTGAGTTTATTGCCTCTAATGCTCCAGAGAATGTGCTGCAATTAGCAGATGGGGTCCTAAGTTTCATTCATCATCAAGTTATTGAACTGGCCAGAGATTGCCTAGATAAATCACGTGAAGGTCTTATTACTTCTCGGTACTTTTATGAGCTGCAGGAAAACTTGGAGAAACTTCTCCAGGATGTAAGTGCTCTCTGGAAAGTAGAATATATTATTTTGATTGAAACTTTAAACAGTAAGCCAGAGCTTTGATTTTAGGAGAGACAATGTGGATTGCAGGGGAAAGGCAGCGGGTGGGGGTATTGGGAGATCTGAGTTGTTCCAGTCTGCTGTTGATCTACCATGGGTGGATTTGAGCAAATCGCTTCACCTGTGTATTTCCTTTGTACAAATGTTAAATATGCATGTGAGTAAGTCAAAGGCAGTCTTTACCATTTATGAAAATTGGGTTCATCCAGATGAAGGAAATTACTGAACTTTTCTTTCATGTACTTCAAGACTCTGAATGACTTATTAATTACAATAGTGCCTTCAAGGAGTGAAAACACCATAGTTTGTAGTTTTGCTATTAATTTTTCATAAAAGATTTTCTTGAGCTGAACTAAATCCAGTTGTGGGTTTTTTAGTACTTCGATGTGTTTTGTGGTGTTCAAAGCATATGAAAATACACAAGGGGGCACAATTTTAATGCATGCTCAGTATGCTTCAGCTACTCATTAAATATTGCTCTTTTCCTTTAAAATGAAAATAATATTAAATTCAAAAAATCACTTAGAATTTATGCTATAGCTGTTGTGACGAGTCAGTGCAATGAGCAGTTGCTGGGTCCAGACCTCCGTTTGGGAATGCCTTGCTAAGCTTTGATTTAAGGAGTTAGCAAGCTGGAAATACAGGATTTATAAAGATCTCAAATAACAGATATCTTGGAAACACCTAGAAACAGAACACCTGAAATACTTTATTTTCTGTGATGATTTTTAATCTATTTGGTGAAGATGTGTTCATATGTCATTGGTCACTTTGCCAACCCACTGGCATGAACTACGCTAGTTTCTGCCCCTTTGCCACT